TGGTGGTAACCCACAATTTTTTCATCATTTTTAATTTAAACACATACTGTACCACGGTATACAATAAGAAATCCTGTCAAAAAATTATGAGATTTTAAATATTATAAATACAAAATATTATTTAAATTTCATGAAAGTAATGTCATCATAGTGTGAGCAAAACATTAATTGCATATTCAATTATATATATATATATACTTATATACACATGCATATATACACATACTGTACACACTGTATATATACACATACATACATACATATATATATATATACACCATACTGGTAACCAAATTGAGGCTAATTCTTTACTACAAGTTGGGTTCTGTATTTATTCACTTCTAATAATATATTTTATATTAATGCAATCTTGTTTTGACATTCCTCCCCCGGGAAAATTTCGATTTCTAGATGGCGGGAAATGAGCTTTCCCGACTTCTGACGTGTCTTTAATTACTTTTAATTTCTTTAAAATTCAAGGTTTTCCACTCTTGAAAACGGTCAGGTAATTTTTCCCCATTGTTATTACGTTAAATAGGGCTTACGTGTGTATACATACATAACAATTTAAAAAAAATTGTTATGTATGTATACATAACAATTTAAAAAAAATGAGTAGTTGCATACGAATTTTCCATGAATCGATGAATCCCAAAAAGAAAGGGGGGGGGGGGTCCGGAGGTTCTTCCCCAGGAAAATTTTGATTCCTAGAAGGCGGGAAATGAGCTTTCCCGACTTCTGAGTTGTAATTAAAAAATACTTCAGAAGTCGGGAAATCTCATTGTCCACCATTTAGAAATCAACATTTTCCCGGAAAGAACTCGAACTTCCCTTTCTCTGGGTTCATTGATTCATTATAATAATTTTCAAGAGGGGAACACCTTGAATTTTGAAAGTAATTAAGTTCTTCAAAATTCAAGGTGTTCCACTCTAGAAAACGGTCAGAAAATTTTTTCCCACTGTTAATACAGTAAATAGGGCTTATGTGTGTATACATACATAAAAAAAGATTGAGTATGTTGCATGTGATGAGTAGTTATACGGAGCAGAACATTATACAACGGACTCTATTGAGTTTTATTTCAGTATGGTCTTACTCGCCATCTTTATTTATCTGCCTCTGCTTGACCCAGAGGGCTCACTCTCCAGATTGCATACTACAATCAACACATCTTCCTTCCTATAAGGATAAACACAATTCCAACGAAACATTTATTTGTTTTTCTAATTAAACTGATAACATAAATACTAAATTTTGAACAAACCCCATCAAAAACACCAAAGGGATTGTTCTGCAAGATAATAAAAAAGGAACAATGAAAATAACAACAAAATACATGGTCCTTATTTAAAACTAATGCCATGTCATTCATTCAGTATAAGAGTGATCTATGTAGTGTAATCATTGTTAAAGTATTTACGATTTGGCTTCCAATCGCGTTCACTACGTCGCGGAACGCTTATATCTTCTGCATGAGTATTATCTCTATCGCCATCATTATCACAATTATTATTTACATTGGCTTGTAAATGGACTTCTTCATCTTCATCTTCCGATTCTGGTCTTTCACAAGGTACTGATGAATGGTTTGGTAAAATGTCGGTATTGTACCCAGGTTCTCTCTGTATCATTTGTCTGTTCCTTCGGAAAACTCCCTTTTCTGTCTGCACAAGATATGAGCGATTTGGTAGTATGAATTTTATCCATCCATTTTGAGACCAGGTATTCTTTAAAGTGTCCCATAGTCTCACTCGTGTTCCAACTGCCAACTCTGGTAAAGCATGTGAACCTACTCGCTTCATATGATACTTCTGCTACTTTTTCTTTACCCCGCTCTTCCTTGCTATGAATGCTTTCGTGTCGAGTTGCTGGAAGTTTAACAAGTTATCTGCCATTGGCAAGATCGTTTTCATTCTCCTGTTGTAGAGGAGCTCTGCTGGAGATTTTCCACATTCAAGAGGGGTGCTACGTCGGTATATCTGCAGGGCCTTCATGATATCTTGATTGCTGTGAACTGCTTTTTTGATCAAATTTTTTACTATCTTTACTGCTCCTTCAGCCAGTCCATTGGATTGGGGGTAGTGAGGACTAGAAGTCGTATGAACAAAGTCCCAATCAGCTGCAAAGTGCCTAAATTCAGCACTGTTAAATTGAGGCCCGTTGTCGGTCATCAGTTCAATAGGTGTTCCCTGTCTTGCAAACACAGACTTTATCTTACTTATCACTGCTGCACTAGCTGTGCTGTGCAGCATGCAAACCTCTATAAATTGTGAAAAGTAATCTACAATGACTAAATATTCCCTGCCATTAACTGTACAAAGGTCTGCCCCAAGTTTTTCCCATGGACGATTTGGGGTTTGGTGGGGCTGAAGTGGCTCTGCCATTTGTCGTCTCTGGTATGTTAAGCATGAGTTACAATTGTTTACCACATTAGCTATATCTTGATTTATACGCGGCCAATACACTACTTCTCTTGCTCTCAGCTTACACTTTTCAATACCGAGATGACCTACATGTATTTTCTGCAATATTCTTTTACGTAGTGAAGCTGGGATGATTATTCTATTTCCCTTAAAAAGCAAGCCATCAGATTCTGACAACTCTTCCTGCACTGTCCAATATTCTTGTAGATTATCAGCCTGACAGTATCACGTTGCGTAATGCTTTCATAATTTCATCTGTTTGTGTTTCCTTCACAATTTCTGTCTTGCTATGTGAGGAGACAGGTATTGACACAGTAACCATATTCACATAATTGACAATGTCCTCTTCGGTACTACTCTGTCCTTCATCGTATTGATCTACTGCTCTTGAGAGCGTATCTGCCGTATACATAAATTTCCCTGGGGTGAAGGACACTTTTAAATCATATCGTTGAACTCTTATTAGCAATCGTTGAACTCTCAATGGACAATCACACAGGGACTTTTTGAACAATGCAATCAGGGGTTTGTGATCAGTTTCCACTTCTATATGTTGTCCATATATGTACTGATGAAATCGTTCACACGTGTAGACTATGGCTAGCAGTTCCTTTTCAATTTGGGCATATCTGGTCTCTGCTTCCGACATTGCCCTTGAAGCATACGCCACAGGAGCCCATGTTCCGTTATACTGTTGTAAGAGTACGGCACCTAGACCATCCCGTGAAGCATCTGAAGAGACTTTAATAGACTTTGTTGGGTCATAGAAACGCAAAACTGGCTCTGTGACAAGAGCTAATTTTAGCAGCTGCCAAGCTTTTTCTTGTGCATCTTGCCACATCCATTGATTTCTTTTGTCAAGTAAGCTTTGAAGTGGTGCTGATTTTGATGATAGGTCTGGGATAAACTTACCCATGTAGTTCACCATTCCCAAAAATCTCTGTACATCTGTCTTGTTCTGTGGTCTTCCCATGTTCTGTATAGCTGATATTTTCTGTGGGTCAGGCTGAACTCCTTGATCACTAATGACATCACCAATGAAGGTTAACTTTCTCACTCCAAATTCACACTTTGCTCTATTGAGTTTTAGGTTGTTATTTTTCACTATGTCCAAAACCTGTTTTAAGCGCTCATCATGTTCAGCTTCAGTTGATCCCCATACTATAATGTCGTCCATCATAGTGTTTACACAGGGAATCTCTGCAAACAGATTATGAACCAATTTGTGATATACCTCTGGAGCACTGCTGATTCCAAAAGGTAGGCGCAAGAATCTGTACCTACCAAATGGAGTGATGAAAGTACATAACTTGGAGCTATCTTCATCCAGTTGGATTTGCAAAAATCCACTTGATGCGTCAAGTTTACTAAATATTTTTGCTCCTGAAAACTGTGCAGTAATTTCTGCCCTTGAAGGCAACTTGTAGTGTTCCCTCTTGATTGCTCTATTCAAATCCCTTGGATCCAAACACACACGTAGTTTCCCATTCTTTTTATCTACTATAACCAATAATGAAACCCAATCAGTCGGCTCGGTTACCTTTTTTATGACTCCCTGAGTCTCCATTTTTTGCAACTCAGCTTTAAGCTTTGGTTGTAGAGGAAATGGCAACTTTCGACATGCATGTTGAACTGGTATCTGGTCCTTGTTGATTGTGATGTGATGATGTCCAGGCAGGCAGCCTAGTCCTGTGAAAAGTTCATGATAATCAGTGTCAATGCTAGTGCTATATATTCTCTTAATAAGGTTCAATCTCTCGCATGTTGGTAATCCAATTATAGGCTGCACTTTTTCTGGCAACACCTGAAACTCAACGTCATGATATACACCTTTATATTCACACTATAATGCATTGCCAATAGGCTTCATACAGTTCCCGGAATAGAAGTCTGGCATTTGACTTTGTCAGATCTGCGCCTAGTTTGTCATAAACACATTTGGGCAATATATTACACTGTACCCCTGAATCTAACTTCAACCTAACAGTTCTATTTTGTACCTGAAGGTTGAGCATCCAGTTGTTTGTTTCTTGTTTCTGGAGACTCACAACATCTACAAAATATTCATCATCGGTATTAGTGTCTGCTTCAACGATCTCATCTACTGTTGATTTACTTCGACAAAACTTTGCCCAATGGTTTTTCCCTTTACACCGGGAGCAAGTTGTCCCCCATGCAGGACATGCCCGCATGGCATGTAGTATACCGCATTGCTTACAGGTTATTTGTGATTTTTGCTGAGGCGGTGTTTTTTTCTTCACTACTTGTACATCAATTGCTGTTTGTGCGCTTATGGCGCACAAGCTTTTCTTAGACATCTCTACATTCTGCCCTATTTTTATTGCTTTGTCTAGGGTGAGGTCATCCCCTTCCTCTAAACATTTTTCTTGTACTTTCGGGTCTTTAGCCCTCATCACTATTGCATCACGCAGCATGCGTTGCATGTCTGTATAGTTGCAGTAAGCAACCAAAACCCTAAGGTTGGTGACAAAGTTATCAAAACTTTCCTCCCCATTTTGGAATCTGCTATTGAATTCCACTGTGGCTTTTATTTCGTTGCGCTTTGGGGCGACATACCTTTCAAATTTTTTATACACACCCTCAAGCAGCTCATTCTTGGCTGGCACGGCTGGGCTATTTTCGGTAGCTTCTTTTGCCGGTTCCCATTGGAAGGTGTGGTAGATTTCTCTTTCTCTATCCCCTATAAATGTCATAAGGTAGTTGACCTTCTGAACCTCCGATTTGTCGCTAAGGGGACCATTGAACATAAACACGCAATGTTGTTTAAACCGTTTAAACTCCTTCGCCAGATCGGGACTATTCCAGTTCATGTATGGCTTCCTGTCCCTATCCATTTTTGTTTTTGTGTTTTATAAGCTTGTGCTAGCCCTTGAGTTAAGAACCGTATAACAGCAACGATGTGTTAGCTACTTTGCAACACAGCCCAGTGCGAGATCGACTGAACCGTGTAACAGGGCGAACCATTCACCAACACACGCCACTAAATAAAATACCTGTACGGCAAGCAGTCTAAATCTTCACCGTCGGAGCGAGGGCCTAACGTTGATCTCTCTTAGGCTAGCTTCACAAGGACGCACAATTTTCATTAATGGGTCGTAACTCAGCCGGAGGTAACCAAGTTTCTCCTGACACCATGTGATGAGTTGTTATACGGAGCAGAACATTATACAACGGACTCTATTGAGTTTTATTTCAGTATGGTCTTACTCGCCATCTTTATTTATCTGCCTCTGCTTGACCCAGAGGGCTCACTCTCCAGATTGCATACTACAATCAACACATTGCATACGTAGTTTTTCCATGAATCGATAAATCCCAAAAAGAAAGGGTGGGGAGGTGCTGTGGTTCTTCCCCTGGAAAATGTTGATTCCTAGGTGTCGGGAAATCAGCTTTCCCGACTTCTGTGGTGTCTTTTAATGACTTTTAAATTCTTCAAAATTCAATGTCCCCCCCCCCCTTGAAATGTTTCAATTAATCAATGAACTCCAAAGATAAAGGGGGTCCGGGTTCCCCCGGAAAAATGTTGATATCTAGATGGCGGGAGATGAGCTTTTCAACTTCTGAAATGCCTTTTAGTGACTTTTAAAGTTCTACAAATTTCAAGGTTTTCCCCTCTTGGAAAAGGTCAGGTAAATTTTTCTCATTTATTATTAATGTGTGTATACATACACATGTGCGTATACAATGATTGCAAATTTATACAATAAATAATATATATAAATTTTATACATAATATAACAAATTTTATAAAACTGGTACATAATATAACAAATTTTATAATACATAATAAATATCAGGAAATAAATCATAACTTCATTAAATAATTTAAATACTAGATGTGTACTGACAGGGAAGAGAGCACAGTCCTGTTTGAAAATATGTCACTCTCCTAGTTGCCACCGTTGTTGTGATAGTGCACGCTGCTGTGTTTTGTTTGTTTGGTAGAAGTATGCCTGAGTAGCTAACATTAACAGATTTTAAAAATTAACCTTCACTATCCAGTTGTGGCGCGGGAGAGAGGGCATTTTCCCCAGGCCAGGATCTTCCAATACCATGCGTTAGTTGGACTAAAAATAATAATTAGCCTATCCAAATGACCTTTGATTACCTATCCTTAATTGTGATCTATAAGCACAATTTGGAGCTTTAAGCCATAGCCACTCTCCCTGTGAATTCTACCAGGGATTATTATTAAGAAACCCTGATCGAGGATCTAATCGGCCTTTTAATTCGGACCACAAGTTTTTTTCCAGCTTTTGCAATCTTGGGCAATTGGGATAATTTGGTGTGGCTGCAGCATTCCCTCAGGATCACCCAAGAAGCGCTGGATATATTGTAAAAACAGAATTCTCAGGTGACCAGGTTTTCTCTTTCCATACGGTTGTACATACAAGCCGTATTCTTTCACAGGCTCATTATCTGGAAGGCGAAGTATATGGCCCAGAAATTTGAGCTAGTGCATTCTTACTTGGACAATATCGCAGCAACGCACGTATATCTATAATATAGGCAAATGAAGACAAAATAGTACAGTTAGCTAAGTTGTAGAGTGTAATTATATTTACAGCATGTTTTAACAACAAAATATGACATATGAAGTAAAATATATATGGTAAAATAATATAATAATAATGTTTTGCATATTATGATCATTCAATTTAACAAACAGTAAAAGGCCTAGTTCCATTGTTTGTTAAAAAATGTCTTGATGTTTAATCTAAACATGTAGAAAACAAAATTTTGCCAGTGAAATACAATAGTTAATGTACTTGAGGTGTTGAAAGCTGAAGTGCCTGCTTAGTAGAGTTTTTTTTATTTTTTATTTATAAACTTGGAATTAAATTTTGATTGTCCATTTAATTTAGGTAGTTTTCATTAGGAATTATTGGAACAGGAATGTCAGTCCCATATACCCAAGTTGAAATTGCTAAACCGATGACAACTGTGGTAGGGTTATAAATAGTATTAGATGATTCTTTGACAATGTACAGTAAGTAATATAACCAAACTACAGGCAAAACGGAGTACTATTCTGCTC